CCTTCCCGTGTCCGGTCTCTGCCTGGCGTAATCTCTTCACGAGGGAATCTTCTTTTTCCTTCAGGGTCCCTTTTCCTTTGAGGAGGTGTCCATTGATTTCACAGAGGCAGAATGGGCCCTGCTGGATCCGGGACAAAGAGCTCTGCACAGGGAAGTCATGCTGGAGAACTATGAGAATGTGGCCTTTCTGGGTAAGGATCTTTCCTTGGTGCCAAAGGTGCGAACTGCTGCCATTGGATCAGGCGTGAACCAAAATACTGGACAGGTATTCACAGTTTTGAGGCTTGTCCCACTCCTGGGGAGGGGGGGGTGCTGTGGCTCCCTGGCAGAGCATCTGCTTGGCGTGCAGAAGGTCCCAGGTTCAATGTTGCTGCAGCTCAGCTACAGAAAGACAAGGAAATCAAACTGTTCTATCGAATGCATGAAATATGTGGTATTAGATGGAACCTCTTGTTGCAGCATATTAGGGGTGTGCAAAAAAAATGTCGGTAAAATTCGGATTCGGATATATTTTTCCCGATTTGGGGGGGGGGGTCTAAGGTGGAAGCGTCATTCAGGTAGCCCTATAGCTCTATCACCACCCACAGGGGCCTCGAGTTCTCTCACTGTTTCAACTGTGGCGGGGAGATCGCGGCGGAGTGCCAAGACTTTATCTGCGAAATAGCTCACAAATGCCTCACAACCAGTATCCAATTCTCTAGCGTTTTGCCTGCCCTGTGGCAGAGCCGTTAAAAACAGAATCATTCTAAATAATTGGGCTGGGCATGAGCTCACAGACGCAATCGTGGCCTTGACTGCCATCTACTAGGATCTCATAAACGTCCTATAAGAGGCTCTTGTTGCCTCGTTGTGGGTGTGGCACCACTGACTCTCTAGCCGTCTCAGCTCTCGCTTCCTAAACCGTGGCCCTCCTAGGTGCTAACAGGATCACTCTATTTTTTCCAGCAGAGGATGATCAGAGGAATGAGGAGGATGCAGAACTTCATCAGCAAATGCGAGATAAAGTTAAAAATGAAGATTTTAAAGAAAACATCAGGAATCGAGGCGGACCGATGGGAAAGAAAGGCGTTCATATGGTTGAGAAGAGACATGGAAGACAGCATAATGTACACATTCCAAAGCACAGGATAATGAAGGAAAGTAAATCTACCTGGTGTGAAAAGTACTTCAGAAACAGAGAACAGCTCTTTGTACACCAAAGAATACAATTTGAATACTCAGAGAGTGGAAAGAAACTTGTTGGGTATCAAAGAACCCACACAGGGGAGAAACCTTTTCAGTGCTCAGAGTATGGAAAGAGATTAAGTCACAGTGTCAGTCTTCAAAAGCATCAAAGAAACCACACAGGGGAGAAACCTTTTGAATGCTCAGAGTGTGGAAAGAGATTCAGTGGAAGTGGCAAACTTCAAAAGCACCGAAGAACCCACACAGGGGAGAAACCTTTTGAGTGCTCAGAGTGTGGAAAGAGATTCAGTGGAAGTGGCAAACTTCAAAAGCACCGAAGAACCCACACAGGGGAGAAACCTTTTGAGTGCTCAGAGTGTGGAAAGAGATTCAGTGGAAGTGGCAAACTTCAAAAGCACCGAAGAACCCACACAGGGGAGAAACCTTTTGAGTGCTCAGAGTGTGGAAAGAGATTCAGTGGAAGTGGCAAACTTCAAAAGCACCGAAGAACCCACACAGGGGAGAAACCTTTTGAGTGCTCAGAGTGTGGAAAGAGATTCAGTGGAAGTGGCAAACTTCAAAAGCACCGAAGAACCCACACAGGGGAGAAACCTTTTGAGTGCTCAGAGTGTGGAAAGAGATTCAGTGGAAGTGGCAAACTTCAAAAGCACCGAAGAACCCACACAGGGGAGAAACCTTTTGAGTGCTCAGAGTGTGGAAAGAGATTCAGTGGAAGTGGCAAACTTCAAAAGCACCGAAGAACCCACACAGGGGAGAAACCTTTTGAGTGCTCAGAGTGTGGAAAGAGATTCAGTGGAAGTGGCAAACTTCAAAAGCACCGAAGAACCCACACAGG